GCATCAACCAGAGGGGTAAGCCTCCCTATTCCACACATGATTTATAAATTCCTGACCTACAATTCATGAGCATAATAAAATGGTGCTTAATAGCCAGTTGTGCTAGCTTCTTATTAGCAATAGATTTCCAGAACCATGGTAAGGTAGAGGCAGATAAGAATAGTGATTATCTTTGGGAAGAAAGTTAAGTTTTGAGTTTTTTGTTTTTTTTTTTTTTCCCCTCACTCTGGTCTACTGAAGAAATTAGGTGGTATATACAAACACTGTTTTACCAGACTTGTCTTAGAGGCTGGTGTCCATCCTAATTAGCATACTAGATCCTGGACTTTCATTAAGAACCAAGAGATGTCATTCCAATGAGCCACCTGAGGTTTCTTTCCCCAGTTCTAGGACCTTGATCTATTTCCCTGTTGATGGTGGAGTGGAGAGCGCAGGTAGTCAGACCTGCTCTGCCAGTTTTCTTCTTGTACTATTTTTTTCTTCTGCTTTTAAAACTGAGAATGGGTAAGGCCGGAAATACCAGCCAGAGATTAGCATTTCAGAGTCAGCTGCTTACTGAAAGAAGTGATGTTCCAAGGCTGGAAATTATAAGATACCTATCTTTAACCCCACCCCATAGGAGAGGCTCTTACCTAGGGTCTCAGACTGGGGCTGTATCAGGCTGTGACCGTATCCTACCAACTTCTGACTCAGTGCTCTTTCCCATCAATGAATCGTTCTAAGCTCCAAGTTTGGTTCAGAGGTAAAATTCTGAGCCCTGTGGAACAACCGAAGCAGTGTCCCTTTTGTTCCCGTGTATGCGTCTGTGCCCACTCTGAGAGAGAACCTATAAATTCTGTTTGATTCTTACAGAGAGCAGTGACCAGAACAGCCTTGAGTGGCCCTGTACTTAAATTAAACTTTGTATTCCCTTGAATCAGTATGTGAGGACATCAAATTCTCCCAGGCAAATCTATTTGCAGTTTCGGATTCCTGCACCATAGGTGCATCTCACAGATAGTTGGGTAGTTAGAGTATCCAGCAAGCAATTCATTTACTATCTATTTAGAAAAACTTGGTACACAGCCCCAGGCTAACATCTCTGTAGGGATTCAGAAGCAGCCACAGTACAGGTGTTCTCTTTCCTTGCAGCCATTGTAGGAGCTGAAGCAGAGAGAGCTGGGGTTTCTCCAGGTAAAGCCTGCAAGCTCCGAGGCTGAACTACGCAGAAGTGTATTAGTCACCCACACTCCCACGTAGGTGTTAGGCCTTTTCAAATGGTGCTTCAGGGACCCAGGCTTCTTTTATCTTGTAGCCTTGCACTATTCTTGGGTCTGGGAGTTCTAGAACAGGATAGGATAGTGGGGAGGGCTAAGGCATAGCTTGGGACTTTTTCTGGAAAGAGAGTTATATTTCTGTCCATTTTCCATTGACTAGAAAGTTCTATCTAGATCCAAGGTGGCAAGGGGCTTCCTAACAATTCTGCACAATAATAGAGGAGCACAACTCTTTATGGTGTCATGGAATGGTGTCCTCTCCACCAAGGCACAGTGAGTGCTTCCAGAATCTGGAGGTGGATGAAATGCTGAGAGGGGCTTTTACACATTCTGTGAGGTCTGCACACAGGTTGGAATCTTTACCAACCTAACACCCTGGAATTAAGGTGCTCTTTAGAAACGTGAAGCCAGGATTGAAAAAGAGTAAAGAGAAAAAGTACAGTTTCCAGGTAACAGGAGATCTTCTTTTAAAGAGTGACAGAGGACAAAGCCCGATCCGGATTTTGAGTTAGTTTATATTATATCAGAACTTGTATAATGGTAAGAAAGAGAACTGTTTCCACTTTTGAAGAATCAGTGCCCAAGTTCAGCTTTTTCATTGCACATCTGTGCTTAGTAATGTTTTCATGTTTGATAGAAAGTACGACAGCAAATGCCTTTGCCCTGTGCTTTGCATTTTCACCTCCTTGCTTAACTGTTTCTTGATTATTTTTGGTTGTTTCATGTAAGGTTAACTGCCTTCCTGAAAGTATCTTACGATTTTTTTATTCTAGAATAGAATTGGCTATGGGATGAAACTATCATTTTCTCAGTCCTCCTCCTCTTCCTCCTCTTCCTCCTCCTCCTCTCTCTGTCTCTGTCTCTGTCTCTGTCTCTGTCTCTGTCTCTCTCTCTCTCTCTCTCTCATTTTGATTAGAGGCAGGTCTCATAATGTAGCCCCATCTGCTTGGTACTTGCTACGTAGACCATCCCAGGCTGGGCTTGCTCTCATAGTGATCCACCTGACTGTGCTAAGATCAAAGACATGTGCCACCACACCTGGCTAGCTTTTTCTTTTTTTAAAGATGGATCTTACTATGTAGTCCAGGCTGTCTTAGTCTCCTGAAATCTGGGATTATAGGGATTGCAGGTATGCATACCACCTGCCTGGATCTCTGTCTTTTGTAAAAGATGATATTGTTACTATCTGGTGTCAGAACTGATGGTCCATGAAGTATATTTTTTTTCCCTACCATTTGCTACAGAGAATAGCTCTGAGGAGTGACGTCTCTTTTCTGTGTCTGTGCAATTTTGTTTTTTTTTGTTTTTTGTTTTGGTCTGGTGAACTCCAGCAATGTTGGAAGCAGTGGTAATGATTAAGTAACTTATTTTGGAGGCTGAAGTCTGAGTCAGATTCACCCCATGGTATACTGGAACTGGATTGGTTGTGACCCATGAAAGCTGAATATTGGAAATATACTCTACTGGTGAAGGTTACAATTAAATATGCAAACTCAGAATTAAGTAAATTCTATTAAACTCATAATTCTCTCACTTTTAATTAGGATCTTGAGGTTATGCCATGTGTTTCTCTGTCATTAAAATACTATACAATGAGGAAGTATTGTGTCCCTCTTTCTGTGTTCATTTTCCATTGCTAAGGTAAAATATGTGACACTGGGCCCTTAGTAAGGCAAGAGATTTGTTTAGTTTATAGTTCTGGAAGTTCAAAGTCCAAACAGCAGAGTGTGGTCTCTGGTGAGGGCCCCTGGATGCACTACATCTTGGAGGAGAGTGTCATGGCAAGAGTACGTGTGAGAGGGGGAAGGTTCAGGCTTGCTATTCTGTAGCAACTCACCAGGATCCCAGAAGTACCTAATTCAGTCTGAAGACAGTGTTATTAATGGCCTAATGAATCTCATTGGGCCTCGCCTCTTCAAGGTCCCATCACCTTGCACACTGCGACACTTGGAACCAAACGTCCAATGAATGCAGTTTTGGAGGATGCAGTTAAACAGTAGCCCAGCCATAGCACTTTCCAGCTTCCCACTCAGTGACACTACTTAGACATGAACTGGGCCATGGTGGGTACCAGTGTTTGAATGTCTACCAGAAGCATGCTGGATTCACCTCATGGGTTGTCGTCTTCATTTGATGGTGCTGAGATTTGCAAGAAACCAGCAGTGCAGGGACAGTGTAGGTGCAATAAAAGACAACTGTCAGCAAGGTCATTCCTTCAGAAAGCACCCTGTCACCTCCAGGTAGCACACACACACACACACACACACACACACACACTCACACATTGCTGGGTCTCTGCAGTCCTGAGCCTTCAAAAGGAGAGAGGACCTCTCTATTTCTCTCTTTATAAAAGAGGACCATCAATTCTCGACTCCATCCCGTCCAGGGATATGTTAGTGGGGGAAATGTCCTACCTGATATGAGTAGGAAGCAATTTTAGAATTAAAATCAGAGATTGAGAAATGGTATTACACAGGATTGCTGATCTGTGCTGCTTATAACTTTGGGGGTAGGATATGATTCGCAGACTTATAAACCTAGATCTGTGGCATTGAGTACCCCGTGTGGTCCTCAGACACGTGTATCATGGTGAATGGCTCAGGACTTCTTCACTGACGTGAAGGACAGCATGGGACGAGATGGATGAAAGTTACTTGCTCATGGGTATACCTTGTCCTGGTAGGACTGTCCTTGATTGTGGGATTTGGTTTTTCTCACCATTTTGCGTTAACATCCTGTCTTTATGGAATGCTGGTGATAGGAGGTGAAACGGTGAAATGTAGTTAATTTTAAATGCCTCTATGAGAACAGCTAAAAACTTACTCCTCCCAAGTTTTAGAAGTGTTGATGTTGCCAGGTGTGGAGGCACACAAATTTACTCCCACCCCTTGGAGGCAGAGGCAGGCAGACTGTAGTGAGTTCCAGGCCAGCTGGGGCTATAGGGAGACCCTGTCTCTAAAAGACCAAAAAGAAAGAAAATCAAAATATGACCTGAGCAAACCTGTTCTCTCTTCTGCTAAGATGACTTCTTAAAGTATTGGCAAAATTGTTCTTTTGAGGTGAGGCATTGAGCAAGGAAGCCCTCTGCTTAAGACTGCAATGATGTTTCCTCTTCACTGAAAGAAATGCTTGCGATCTTTCCAGGATTTCCTGGGTGAACATGAGGCTTTGACCATCTTTGTCTCTTCTGGCACTGTTAATGCCAATTTCAATTTCTTGGCATCATGATGCATAAGTATATCACACAGAGATGTGATTTTAAACAAAAAGTGTCGTGGTTGTACTGAAATGACTTGAAATTGCTCATTGCAAACCTGCCTCAGTAGCAAAACGCCATGCGTGCAGTGGATTTGCAGCCACGCTAGGCATCTTTTTTTTTTCTCCATCTCATTGCTCTTTGTGTCGGCAGCACAGAGTAATGTAATTGAGTAAATTAAGATTTGAAGGCTGGGCATCAGCCCCAGTGTTGAACAGTGTTTGGACTATGATTACTTGCTGGCTTTGTCACAGTTGACATTAATTATTGATTGAAGTTTCAGAAATAGCGCATGTGCCAGGAGCATTTCACCGGAACACAGGCTGCAGGCAGGAGGGATGAAGAGTGTGGGGAGAGAGGCACCTGTGGCTTGTTTATGTCTGTGTGCAGGGAACCTGGACCCGGTGGGCTGTGCGGTAGCTGTGTAAAGGTCATGGTGTAACAGAAGGATGCATCGTCAGGCTTATTTCTATCGTGTTCCTCCCCAGGAACTGCACCGAAGAAGCCAACTCCAGCCGGAGCCAGCCAAGACGAAGGCTCTCCAGACTGTCATTGAAATGAAGGTAGGAACTGAGCACATTTATCCGAACCAACTGTGCCTGGGAGTTGGTTCTAGCTTGATGTTGCCTAACAAACATGAGAACTGAACCTCGTGTTTTCCTTTGGGCACCCTGGGGGTGCTTGGTTTCTGGCTCACTTTGCTTTCCTGGGTGCATATAATTTATTGGCCCTTTAATTAAAGTGCATTTTCTATGCAGAAGAATAAAGGACTTAAGTATCCCTTGTTTGCAAGGAGCTGGGCTCATTCCCAGAGTGTCACCAATGCCTTTAAGGGCTCTTTGGTTTGGGCATTAAAAATATTTGCTTATCAAGCTAGAATTAATCCCACCCCGACCCCATTATAATGAAAAGACACCGTTGAGGAAGTAGGATTCCACAAAGGGTGCATTGGAGTTATTAAACAATTAAAATTTCACTTTCAGCAAGATTCATTTTTCAAAGAATGATACTTTAGTATTTTCTCCTTAACCAAACTGGAAGTAAGAATAATTTATTAAATATCTGCAAAGCATAGAAATACCACAGACAGGAAGAGAGAGAAACTATTTCAAGTCACACAGAAACCTTTCTGACTGGGCTCAGAGCTTGTAAGGAATAATGAAGTCAGTGGTGGCAGCCCTGTCTGTGATCGGGCAGCAGGTATAAGAGAAACCGTGGGCTTTGTTACGATCTAGAAATCGAGTCTTTTATTTCTAGTTTGTGCCAGAGGAAGCAGTTTATAAAAATTTGAAGAATAAATCATTTTTTGTGTAAATTTTTCTATTAAGAAAACAATAATCTTTGCAATCTGCAGATTCCACACTTGAGTTCTCACTCAGAGATTCCTGGACACCATTGGTTTTCAGAAAAGCACGGAAGATTGCTCGTGGGACAGTGACTTCTCCGTCTCTCTTGTAGCATGTAATTTTGAGTTGTCTGCCCAAAAGCATCCCAAGTCCTAGAGAAAAACTCACATGAACTTTCAACTCTTGGCATATACAATTCTGACTTAAACTATTAAATGACAGTGTTTTCACCCAAGTGGATTTTATTTTGTGGAAACAGTACAGAACTTTGGCTTTTCAACTGCACATCCCCCAAATCAGTTGCATGTCTGGGCACTCATGATATGTTTGCAGAAAGTTGGTTTGGAAAGTATTTATTTGAATGAAATACTAATAAGAGTAACCCATAGTGGCTGATCCTGGCTTATTGGAATGGAAACTTATTCTCGTCTTTGAGGACAGTGGTGGAACTGAGATTTCACCTTTGCTTTACGTTGCAGCCAAAGCTGAAACTGGATGAAAGGAAAAATAACCAAACTAAACCTCAACTCTCCTCGACCTGTTTGTTTTATTTTGGTCTTTTTGAGACAGGGTCTCCCTGTGGCCCCAGCTGTCCTGGAACTCACTGTGTAGACCAGGCTGGCCTTGAACTCCCAAAGATCTGCCTGCCTCTGCCTCCCAAGTGCTGGGACTAAAGGTGTGCGCCACCATGCCCGGCGACCTGTTTGTTTTTTAAGTGTGGCTCAGTTTCCTTTCCAGTTATCTGCATACTGACCTCCCCATCTCCAACACAAAGAATAACAGAGAAGATATGTATATATATGTATATATAGAGAGAAAATCTATTTCTAAATTATCCGTTTTTAAATAAAGAAAAGGCAAGTTCTAGAAATCTTTGGAGAAACCTGGAGAGGCATCTCACCTAATGTGGTGGGTAATTTCTTATCAAGTGTCTCTCTAAGACAACTGCTTTCTTTGACGACTTTTTTGTGTAGAAATTCTGCTCGATTCTGTTTCCTCTTCTAGCTAGCATCATGTCTTATTATAAAATAAATAAATTATAAAAGTGTGAAAAAATTTAGGCTATCTACCTAAGAAGGCATAGAACATAATTATTAGAGAAAATTCAAATAGGTGTATTTTCAGTAAGCTGAGCCTTTACGTGTCCTTTTATGGATGTCAGTGATACACATTTGTAGGGTTTTTATTTATTTATTTATTTTTGGATGAATGAACATGAGTGTATTTGTCAGGAAACTGAGCTGAGTTCTGTTGTCTTTTTGGGTGCCCGCTAACTCATGAAAGCACTCTTACATTTTGTCCGTGCAGAAGCTGGGCTTCATTAGCATCTCTGCTCCACATAACTAAATTGAATTATAGAGGCAGCTGGTACAAGGTCATCTCCTTAAATGTGTATGTGCTTGTGACAGAGGCTCTGATCTCATCCAATTTTGTGCATTAGAAATTAGAGGGAGTGTTATAAACCCAGACTATGCAGCCCTTGGAGGTAACTACTGAATAGACCTGGACTTTATACTTGGAAAGTGGAATATTTATTTATTTATTTATTTATTTATTTATTTATTTATTTATTTATTTAGTCTTAGTTTTGGCTAAACAGTAGTGTTATCTAGTCCCTTGACCAAATCTAAAGTTAAAAGGAGGTGAGTGTTTAGTTTGTCTTCGACAGCCTCTCATGTATCCCAGTCTGGCCTTGAACTGGCTGTGCAGTTGAGGCTGATCATGAACTCCAGAGCAGTTTACCTCTGTCTCTTAAGTAGTAGGATTACAGGTATGTGTCACCATGCCCCATGGTGCTTTCTTAAAGTGTCCTTTAGTTTCGGGAAGATGGTATGAACTGGGGTTCACAAGTTACCCCAACTTGTCTCTTGTTTGGTGGAGACACTGAGAGTGGAGTTCTGAACCCCCATTGTCCCCACAAACACACTTTGCAAAAGCCCAAGAAAGGGTTAACTGTGAAGGTCTGGAAAATCCTACGTAATTTCAAGCATTTTTTGAACCCCAACCCAGTATGCTGTAAGAGCTCTGTGTACCCCCTGGAGATGTTGAGCTGTGAGAATACATCTCTGTAGGTGAACTTGAGCCAGTTGGCCTTACCACAATGGGGGTCAGTCCTCTGCAGCTGCCACATTTCCCACCAGCAAATAGAGCCTGTGTGGGGGTCACCTGAGTGAACACGAGAGGAAGGAAGCAGGTGAGGTTATTGACTGTTTATCTTCTTACAGGAACCACCAAGGTTTAAATTTGGTCCTGATTTGGTCTGGCAGGTATGTTCCACATTGAACACTGCATTTCTCGGAAAGCTCGTTTCTTACAGACCTCGTGAGGCACCTTTTCTGGATTCTGTGGCAGATTCTTTACTAGGTGCCTCCTCTTTGCTCACTCCTGTGGAGAGCTGTCAGTGACAGTGACAATTCAAAGGTTGACTTCGCCTTTTCTCTCTTCAATGCTGAGTCTTTTGAAAGATTATGTTCTTAGCCTATTTTTGTTATAAATTTATCATGTGAACATGATGTCAAAAAATTAAACTTTCTTGAGTTCATTGATAAACTACCCGTTTTTTTTTTTAAAAAGAAAGTGAAATATGATCGTGGAAGTATTTGTCAGGTATTTTAAGTTTTTTCTTCATTAGAACTTCTAAGCAAACTGAAATCTAATTCAAAGTGGCTGAAGTCAAAAGGAAATTTATTGGCTCATTTAACTGAAAACAAAACAAGACAAAATACGTTAGTATATGGCTTCAGGCACAGATTGATTGAAAGCTCAAAGGACATTTGCATTTGTCTTTTTCTTCAAGCAAGCTGTGTTTTCAAACAGTCTCTCCTTGTCTGTCTGAGTAAGCTGGCTGTAATAGCTTCAAAATTCACAGAAGGAAGGGTAGGGAGAGGATTTATTATTTTAGGATTTAATTTTAAATTTTAAATTGTGCTTGTATATGCATATGTGTGTGTAGTGACTGTGGAGGCCAGAGGAGGTGCTGTGAGCTACCCCACTGGGTGCTGGGAACTGAACTCAGGTCTTCTACAAGAGCAGCAAGTGCTCTTAACTGCTGAGCCATCTCCCCAGCCCCAGAGATTTTTTTTTTTAGTGCAAAAACCAGCTAGTCCTAGAATAATGATGATTCCTGAGATGGAGTATAAAATGTCACCCCACAATTAATGGCTCAGTTTGAAAATAAAAAATAGTGAGTCCCCTGCTTTTCATTTGCTTAATATATTAAATTATATTCATCAGCAAAAACAATTTTCCGTACTCAGGAGATGTGGACCTGAGTGTCGATCCCTAGCATCCACATAAAAAGCCAGGTACTCTGTGCATGCCTGAAACTCCAACATTGGGGAATGGGAATAAGACAGGTGGGTCCTCTGGGCGCACTAGCTGGCCAGCCTAGCCAATTGCTGAGCTCCAGGTTCAGTGAAAGGCATTGTCTCAAAAGGAGTTGAGAAAGACACCTGATATCAACCTCTGGCCTCCACATACATGCATACACATGTGCACCTGCACACCTACACACGTGCACATACATACAAACATGTGCACACACATACCATACATACAAAAGAAAGAAAAGAAAGAGAAATGAAGAAGGAAAGAAGGAAAAACAACTTTCTGCCAACACAGTAGAAATGATCCATATTCAGCAGGATTTATCAAGTGGAATGCCTCTGTGTGATATGAGGGTTTGAATAAATGTTTCAGAAAACATTCTTGATCTGGGAAGTTTGTTAGCTACTGTAGATTGAGAAGTGGGGAGATGATGTCCCCATGAGATGATATTTCTGTTGAAGCTTTGAGCTTTGCCTTCATGTCCCCAGCTAGGGCGTGTGTCCCATAGGATGCCTCTTGGGTAACACGTGCCCCATTGGGCTGTTTTAGACAGATGGAACTAGGAAGAAGCAGCACCAGACAGAGCTTCATGATGATGCTCAAGTGCTCTCCTGGTGCTCATCAAAGAACGTGATTGCATTCTGGGCAACTCAGTGTGGAGGCTGATTTTCTTTACTAAAACTGAACACTGTGCCTCTTCGGTATGGAGCTGACCTGCAGTTGGGTTCAGTTTCCCCAAAGGGTTGTCTTGACATTTTAACAGATTCAACCCATTCAGGTCCACGGGGTCTGGGAAGGGTGGGAGCAAACATTTGATGTCAAGAGCTACTAGTTGGCAACTTTCCTAAGAACCACAGCTAGGAAGGGAGTTTGAACCTAAACCTGCTTAA